TTCGGAATATTTAAGAACTACTAACTAAATAACATTCTGTTAGAAATAGACATGAAAATTTGTTTTGTTTATTTTACTTAAAGTAACATGTAAATTACTTTAAATAGAATATTTGTTCATATTATAAAAAAGATAAATTAAAAAATGCATATTATGGTATATAAACATTGTATAATGATCACGATAACAAGAATATCTTATCTAGATAAGTAACAAGTAATAACAAATCATATTACTAAATTTTTAATATTTGTTGATGTGTAATACTTGACTAGATAACGACATAGTATTCAAAGATCAAGATTGGATACAAAATAAGTAACAAATATAAGAAGAATGGTGTGTATTTATGTCTAGTCCTAAATGCAAGTAAAAGAAAAGACAAATATGAAAAACTAATTAATAGATTATGTAACAAATAGCAAGTAATGGAACAAGTAGCGGGGCGGAACGAGTCAAATACAAAATATAATAATGATACTTGATACTTGACTTAATCTTGCAAGTAATGAAAATTGTCTTCTTGTTACTTGCCTTGACAACACCGAGTACTTGAATTTTTAAGGCGGGTACGAGTCAAATACCGAATTTAAGGTGAGTAACGAGTAATAATGCCCAGCCCTATTCAGTTCCAATATAATGCAAGTATGCTATTAATAGAAGGACTTGATCATTGGATTCATACTGAATCACTGGTTACTTAGAATCACTGGTTACTTAGAATTGCAACAAATTAATTAGCTGGTATCACACAGGCATCAAGGGTGATTCCCCATCTTCTCTACAAAAAATATAAAAGAAGCTACGTCGACATTTAGTACGTAAAAATTAAAAAATGCATGTTTGACACAACGAGATTTATTCACTTTCTAAATTAAAATAGGTTTGGTAAAAATAATAAATTCGCCCACTTGTGAGTGTAGTTTAGGCATTTATATACTTGTTGAAAACTATTTTTTTAGATTTAAAAATCTGTAAAAGCTTTTTCATAAACAAATAAAGGAGAAAAATGAAAAAAAAAAATTACAAAGTGACTCGAGTTGGATTGAAGGTATATAAATATTACCTCGGTTGTTCCTTGTCCGAAATAAATAAACAGAGAGACACAGATCTCACTATCCGGGGGGAAAAAAAAACGCAATGAGGACACCGACGATGCTGCTCTTTTTAGTCGGAGCTCTAATCTTCTCCGGCTCCGGCGTTGTGAGATCCGACGCCTCCGACCACCGTTACAAGGAAGGAGACACCGTTCCTCTCTACGCCAACAAGGTCGGCCCATTTCACAATCCAAGGTAAAATCCACTGTTGTGTCGTTAGGTCTCCTCTGAGATTTAGTTACGATTTAAACTTCAGATCTGAGATTGTATCGGTTTCTAAACTGATGATGAGAGATTGCTCGTTGATTAAATCAAAGAAGTACATTTTGGAACGTTTCCATGTGTGTGATGGACCTGTGACACCTGTCTTTAGATTTGATTACTATAATGTTACTGATGTTTGTTTTTATTGGATTGTGATTTTGCAGTGAGACGTATAGGTATTTTGATCTTCCCTTCTGTGTTCCAGGTACTATTCATTTATCTTACTAGATTCATCACACTATCTCTGTGTTATGTTTCAATACTCTCTAAGCCAGTGAAAATTGATTATCTCCACTCCACATTCATTTCCTTTAACGATCACTTAGGACTTGACTGCAACTGAAAATAGCTCACATTTAACATTTTCCGATTTAGTGTTTATTTTGATCTGACATGTAGTGAAATGCCTGTATGTTGTTGTGATCTTGTCTTTGTATCTGATCTCAATGGTTTTGGTTAATAGAGGGTGTGAAGGAGAAGAAGGAAGCTTTTGGAGAGGTTCTGAATGGTGACAGACTTGTCAGCGCTCCATACAAACTCAACTTCAGAGATGAAAAAGATTCTGAGGTCTACTGCAAAAAGAAGCTAAGTAAAGAAGAGGTTAAACAGTTCAGAAAAGCCGTTGAGAAAGACTACTACTTCCAGATGTACTATGATGACCTCCCTATCTGGGGATTCATTGGAAAAGTTGACAAAGAGATCAAATCTGATCCGAGTGAACACAGATATTTCCTATACAAGCACATCCAGTTCGAGATTCTCTACAACAACGACCGTGTGATCGAAATCAGTGCTAGAATGGATCCTCACTCGCTTGTGGATCTCACTGAGGACAAAGAAGTCGATGCAGAGTTTATGTATACTGTGAAGTGGAAGGAGACCGAAACTCCGTTTGAGAAAAGGATGGAGAAGTACTCCATGTCTTCTTCTCTTCCGCATCATTTGGAGATCCACTGGTTCTCTATTATTAACTCTTGTGTTACTGTTCTTCTTTTGACTGGTTTCCTTGCAACTATCTTGATGCGAGTCCTCAAGAATGATTTCATGAAGTATGCTCAAGATGAGGAAGCTGCTGATGATCAAGAAGAAACTGGATGGAAGTACATTCATGGTGATGTGTTTAGGTTCCCAACGCACAACTCTTTGTTTGCTGCATCACTCGGTTGTGGTACTCAATTGTTCACTCTGTAAGTCTCTCATTATCTCTACTATTTTTCCATATTTGTATATCTTCACTATAGTTAACGTTGCTTTTCATTTGTCTTCCACGCCTATCAGGACCATATTCATCTTCATGCTTGCTCTTGTTGGAGTGTTCTACCCATACAACCGAGGAGCACTCTTCACCGCTTTAGTGGTCATCTACGCTCTAACATCTGGAATCGCTGGATACACATCCGCCTCGTTCTACTACCAACTTGAAGGAAAAAGCTGGGTAAATGTTTTACTTACACATAGAAGTCATCTTCTACATAAACTAAACAAATTCTCATTCATCTTTCACATTATTTTACAGGTGAGAAACTTGTTACTCACAGGATGTCTCTTCTGCGGTCCTTTATTTCTAACCTTCTGCTTCCTCAACACCGTTGCCATCACCTACACAGCAACCGCAGCATTACCCTTTGGAACCATAGTTGTAATCGTCCTTATATGGACACTAGTCACATCGCCTTTACTCGTCTTAGGTGGCATCGCCGGTAAAAACAGCAAAGCTGAGTTCCAAGCACCGTGCCGCACAACCAAGTACCCACGTGAGGTTCCGCCACTCCCTTGGTACAGAAGCGCTGTTCCTCAGATGGCAATGGCTGGTTTCCTTCCTTTCAGTGCCATCTACATCGAGCTTTACTACATTTTCGCTAGTGTGTGGGGTCACCGGATCTACACCATATACAGCATCCTCTTCATCGTGTTCATCATCCTCATCATCGTCACTGCTTTTATAACCGTTGCCTTGACTTACTTCCAACTCGCTGCTGAAGATCACCAATGGTGGTGGAGGTTTGTTTGAAACTCTGGCTATTGTCTATGCCTTTATTGATAGAACCTGAGCCTGATGCTATAAAGTTAACTATTTTGCAGATCATTCCTATGCGGTGGATCTACTGGTTTGTTTATCTACGCTTACTGCTTATACTATTACTACGCTCGATCAGACATGTCTGGTTTCATGCAAACCTCGTTCTTCTTTGGGTACATGGCTTGCATCTGTTACGGATTCTTCTTAATGCTCGGAACTGTCGGCTTCCGCGCAGCACTTCTTTTCGTTCGTCACATTTACCGGTCGATCAAATGCGAGTAAGAGCAAGTCTAGTCTTCCTTCTTCTGCCTCCTTAAGGATTTTGCTAGAACAAAGAAGACAGAGAGATAGGTTGTTAGAAAGAAAGAGAAACACAAAAGACAATGGCTGATTATTGTCTAGAAGAAAGCATCTCTTCCCATTAGAGTTTTTTACTTTAGGTAAATCTCTCTTTCTTCTCTCATTATTTTGTGCTACAAAAATTTAAAAGCTCCTTGTAATCCATTTTTCTATATATTTTACGGATTGTAAAAGATGATATAATACGTTGAACAAAAAAAAAAGATGATATAATACCTGTTTTCGATTAATTAAATATATTGATGACTTACATGATATATACAATCTTAGTACAATTACTAATCTATTATAGAAAATTTAAACAATTTTGATGAAGGAAAGTATTATTTGTGGAAGTTTTATATACTAACAGAAAAATCTGCAAAAGTTTATTTGCATAATCAAAACTAGGGCTGGGCATTCGGAGTCCCAATCGGGTTTCGGTTCGGGTTCATTCGGGTTTCGGGTTTTCGGGTTCATGAATTTCAGCCCCATTCGGATATTATAAAAATTCGGGTCGGATTCGGTTCGGGTTTAATCGGGTTCGGTTCGGATTTAGTAACATGTCCAAAATCCAATTGAACCCGAAATAGTTTCGGTTTCAGATACTTATTGGGTTATCGATTCTAAAAATACTAATTTATACTCAATTAAATTCACTATTTTTTCAATCTTTTAATTAAATTATGTATTTAGCTTCTACAAACCGTATTGTTCTGCTTTCTTTTTATCGGGTCGGGTTCGGTTCGGATTTTCGGGTTTCGGTTTTTTTTTCCCAGCCCTAATCAAAACTCTTACTTCATGGGCTTTAAAAGTTGACCCAACAATAAGCTTCAATGTCGGCCCGGCCCATCAATAAAACGTTCTTTGAGCAAATATTATTAGATAGAACCTCTTCAGTTTTTGAATTACAGATCCTCTTTTAGGAACCGAACCCTAGAATTCTTCTTCAGCGAACCAACTCTCTCTGCGCGATTCATCTTTCCGATCAAAAGCGACAATGGATCTCCCGCGAGACGTCGACGACTACATCAAAGACACGATCGACCACTCTCTAGGGATCCCGATCTCCATCGACGCGCTCCACAAAAAACTCTCCGCTTCTCTAGAGTCTCAGCGTCGTCTCCGCGAACAGTACACGTCTCTAGTCTCCAGGTTAAAGGAGAAAGAAAAAGTAATCGAACTCGCGAGATCCGAAGCGAGCATCAACGCGCAAGCCGTTAAGAAATTCGTCGAGGAGAATCGGAAACTGAGTGGCGAATGCGAGGATTTGGCGAAACAGTGTAAGAGTTGGGAGAGAGAGTGCTTCCTTTATCACCAAGACCGTGAAGCGTTGATGGAGTTTGGGAACGAAGCGGAGGAGAGGGCGAGAGAGAGTGAATCTAGGGTTCGGAAATTAGAGGAGGAAGTGAAAACGATGTCTGGTAAGAAGTTAGAAGAGGAGGAAGAGTGTTTGGTTGATTCGGTTTTGGGATTTGTTAGCGGAGATGAGATTGAGTTTGGTCGTGTGTTCTTGGAAGCGAATGTTGAAGACCAGACATTGTTGAGGAGATGGGATGAGTTGAAGCCGTCGACGCGGAAGGCTGTGTCTTTGGTCTCGATGGTGAAGAGGATTGAGAAGGAGAAAGAGTGTCTTATTTTGAATCTGGCTAAAGCGGAACAAGAAGTTGAGCTTGTGTGTGAGCAGAACAGGGGGTTAGATGAAGAGAATCGCAAGTTGTTGTTGAAGCAATGTAGTGGTAGTAGTAAGTCTAAGAAGAGAAAGAGTCCTAAGATGATGAGTAGCAGTAGCCCAGGAGGATCTATCAATGGTGATATATAAGGGTAGTGTAGTTAGTGATATGATTATTTTGCAGTATATTTATTTGAACCTGATTTGATAACTTTGGTGATTAGTGAAGAAGTTAATTGTTTAGAGGAAACTGGAATGGAATGTTTTGAGGGATAATCTCTGACTATGTATAAAGAATATGAGATTGAAATAGATGCAGCTCGCTTTTGGAAACACTGAACATACAAATTTTCTATGTTATCTAAACGTCCGTGCTCTATACAACTAGTCAAATGGATTTGGAAAGGTATTTTTAATAAATATATTGGCTTAAGTAAACGTGTTATACATCCACAATCCATATGGTACATTCTGAGTATAATGAACAAACGGATTTTGGTAAATCTCATTCAATAAGTTTATAGTCTGTTTTCTATTTTCAACAACAATCTCGTTGCCTTCAGAATTAGTTTGAAAAGAAGTCTTAGAAAGATTTGTGGGCTTTGGTTTGTCTTCTTCACAAATGGCTTTAATCTTTTTGTGTGTTCATTGACCAAACATAAAAATAGTCTTCTTCATGGCATTGGGGAAAAGCCAATTTAAAAAAATATTTATTTTAAAGGAAGGCTATTTATTTATTTTTAATTAGAAAATTGTTTACATTTTTAGGGTCGTCTGTGTTCCACTCAAATATGAAAAAAAAAAACCTTTCATTTTCCTAAAATCTCTCTCTTCTCTTTTTTCTTATCTTCTTTCTTAAAATAATTCTCTCTCAACCTTCTCTTTCCTCAATCTCTCTCAGAATTCTCTCTCCTCTCTCTTCAGCAAGGCAAAAAAATTTCCCTTAAAGAGTCCCCGTTCATTTAACCCCAATCCTCATGTAAGTTTTCTCTCTCCTAATCGATTTCCATCTCTCTCTTTCCCTCGCCTTTGAAAATTTACAATTGGACCTTTTATGTATTGTACCTACGCTTTTTTGTTTTGTTTCAAACCTCTCTCCATCAAACCATATATATTGAGTTCTTTTTTTTGAATTTGACTGTGAAAATACTCGATCCATGTCCAGCTTCCATAGATCTAGCTCTGGATTCTCCAGATCTACAAGCTATATTGCATATGCATGTTGGTTCCGACAAGAAATGTTGTTCAAAAGATGTCGGAACCCAATGTTTATACACTCTTATTTGGTTTTCTAGGTATCTCCAAGATCTGATCCGTTGTTACCTATGCAACTCTAATGTTTTGCATTGTTGGTCAATCAATATAAGAAATGTTACAAGTTTTGCATTCAAACAACGATTAACAACCCTAGGCTTGTTTTGTCTGATTCTGGATCTGAAATTGTTTATAATATATTTGTAATACATAATGACAATTGTTTGTAGATCTTTGAAATGGATGATGATGGTTTTCGCAATTGGGGTTACTATGAACCAGCAGCTGCTACGTCATTCAAAGGCAATCTCGGTTTGCAGCTAAAGCCCAGCATTGATCGGAACACTAAACCGTTTTTACCCGGTCGTGACCCGAATCTAATGATCGGGCAAAACGGGTCATACCACCACCACGACCCTGAGCCTCCTATCAACATGAACTACAATTGGATTAACCAACAAAAGGACAAGTTCTTCAACATGCTGCCTATAACAACCACTCCTAATTACGGAAACATCCTCCCCGAAACTTCTTCAGCTCCATCAATGCGTCATTATCCAACCACCGAGGAATACCCGGTTAAATCCGAACAAGTAGAAGAGATTGTTCAGACCAGTAAGAAGAGAAAGCCTAATACAAAAGCTCCCGCCACAACAAAGGCCAAGAAGCCTAGGAAACAAAAAGAGGAGAACGACAAGAGCACTAACACGAAACCGGTTAAGAAAAGTGTAGACTTCGTTATTAACGGAGTGAACATGGATATTTCCGGTTTACCTGTACCGGTCTGCACTTGCACTGGATCTTCTCAGCAGTGTTACCGTTGGGGCTGTGGTGGTTGGCAATCCGCGTGTTGCACTACAAACATATCGATGCATCCGTTACCGATGAGTACTAAACGTCGTGGAGCGAGGATCTCGGGGAGGAAGATGAGTCAAGGCGCGTTTAAGAAGGTTCTTGAGAAACTTTCTTCTGATGGGTTTAACTTTGGGAATCCGATTGATCTTAAGAGCCATTGGGCTAGACATGGGACTAACAAGTTCGTCACGATCAGATGATTTAGTCTCTTCTTTTTAATTAGTAAAAAGACGAAGAAGAAAAAAGATCTCTTCCGGGACTGGTGTCTCTCAATGATCGTGTGTATACTAGAACAAATCTGAAGTCTGTGACCTTTTGAGCTATATCTGAAATCTGAGTTCAGGTAACCATCATTTGCTGGAGTCTGTTTGAAAAGAAGGTAACTGAGAAAATGAAGTTTTATTTTTCTCTCTTTTTGTTATGATTATAAACATTTTACTGACTTGTAAGTTGTAACAAATATTTTTTTAATTAAATGTTTTTATTTCCAAGATTTCCAACAAAAAAAATTGAATTATATTTTCCTTGACTGATGATATTGACGTTGTTTACATTTATTCAGAACAAAAACAAAAAAACAAAAATTGACTTGTGATTTCTGTAAGAAAGTGGTTACTCTCCACTATTTTATTGGAATTGTCTAAATTTTCTATATTTGAATAAGCAGCTGTAATAAAATTGTTTTTGTACGAATAAAACATATTTTGAATAAATCAAGGTGTGTTCATCAGTATTTTATCATAGAATCATGAAATTAAATTTGATATTTTTGGACCATATAAACAAATAATAACCAGTCCAAGTTAATTATATAATACAGAGAATAAACATAATCAGAGGCTAATTAAATCTGGAATATCAACTACGGGAGGAGCAGTTAAGCGCTCATCCTCCTCCTCCATCTCCTTCTCCTTCTCCTCTTCTTCATCATCAAGTTTAATCAAATCATCAATTTCAGTAATCAATTCACGCTCCATCTCCTCATCCTCTTCTACACACTTCCTCCTCTCCTCACTATTCTCACACTCATCCCTCTCCTCAGCTTCTCCTCCCCCCTTCTCTTCCTTATCCGTCCACACAATCTCATGAAGATGAATCACATCATCAACCGGAATCCTCACGAAATCAGGAATCTCCTGAGCATTCGCCACTCCAAGATCTCTACAAAACACAAAATACTTCACAAGCTCCTCTCCCTGAGTCATCGACTTCGCCACAATCTTCAACGCCATATCCGCCTGCCGCTTCCCAGACTTCGAGTTAACATTCGGCAACACTTCCGCGATCCGTCGACAGATCCAACCGTACACCTCAAGTATCTCGTTGATCACATTCTCCATCGCTTCGTTAACCACAGGTATCCTCACACTCTCCCCAACCGGTTTAATCCGAACCAACGAATCGATAATCACTTGCATCTTACGTATAATCACAAGCCTAATCATAACCGAAGACTCCTCATCGTAGCGGTGACGGTTACCATCGTGGAATAGGATCGAACGTCTATCGAGAAACGCGAAGTAAGCGCGTACGAAGAGGTTGAACCCGCGCGAGTTCCTTCCTTTTCCTTCCCTGCCGAAAGCGGAGAGATCGAACGGTAACCGTCCGATCGACTCCGCGGCGGTGGTTTTGGAGAGGAAGAAGCCGTGCATTAGCATTAGGCCTTTTAGGGCGACCACCCAGCTACGCGTGCGTGTCACGCGAGAGGAGATGGCGCTGATGAGAGGCTTGAGGCTGGCAGGGGTGGTGCGGACGTGGCGGTAGATGAAGAGAGCGTTCTCTGGATCGATGGAGAATTCGTCGTGGTTTGTTGCTTTCACCACGGCTGTCTTGAGAAGGTCATCTGCTGCGATGAGGCTTGTTCCGTCCTTGAGTGCTACGGAAGCTCGTTTCCATATGTTCATCTCCCGCTTTTGGTTTTCAAAACTTCTTTTTTTTTTTCTATTTTATAAGTTCGAAATTTTTGCTGGTTTTAAAACCAGAAAAAGGTCTTTGATTGTTTTAAAAACAAATTAGATAAAAGGATAAGCTAAAATAAGAAATCTCAAATTTGTTTTCGTAGAAAAATTCCTCTATTTTGTTGCTTTTTTCTAAATTTGTATTATCTTCCTCGTTCCTTTCATTTCAGTTTTCCTCAAATACATAATAATATAGGTTATAGTTAGCTTAACTTTAATTTATATTTTTATTGATACTTCTAATTTTCTTAAGATGAGTTCTTTCACTGCAATTTTTTTATATTTTAAAACATATGGAGTACATTTTAGATGAAAGAGTAAAGGAACGAGGGAGATAATTATAATATTAGTGGAAATATGGATAAATAAAATGATTCTAGAGAGTAGAAAACACCAAAACGGGTACATTTTGCTCCTATCTCCTAATAACAATGTCTGAAGTGGCAAAAGGTTTCATAAAACTCGCAGCTCTTTTTATAGTTTTTTTTAAAAAACTGCAGTTTCAAGATTTCCATCTCCCGACTTGTTTCTCTCTATATCTTCTCTTTTAATTGCTCTGTTTACTCACACCACTACCACTATTGCCATCGCCTTCCGCTGCAGCGATTCTGCTAACAGCTTCTACTTTAGTCTTCATTTCCAGCTTTCCTTCTACAGAGTTGCTTCCGTTGGATTTCTCTGTGGAGCCTTGTAAAGCCTTTTCTTGAGCTGAACCGGGTGGGAGGAACACACCGGTGCCAGGGATAGGCAGCCTGGGCTGTGGTGGCGGCTGGTGTCGTGGATGAGGCCAGACCGGTGGCCCAGGTAGGACACCACCAGGGAAAGGCATTGGAGGAGTAAGCGGAGGAGAAGGAGCTATGAAAATTGGCTTAGCAGCTCCGTTTGGTGGGAAGACACCTGTGGTGGGGATAACAGGGTAATGTTTAGGTGGGACGGTTGGGTGACGGTTGTGTTGTTGGTTCGGTGGAGATCTGCTAGGCGGTGGAGGCCAGTTAGATCCGGTTAAGGAGTTTCTCGGCTGAGATTTGGTGAATGTGATGAGAATCCTCTGCTTTGGGGTTGAGTGGATTGCAAACTTTGCGAGATCTGCGGATTTGCCTTCCACCAGAAGAACCGATCTGTTCAAAAAGACCAAAACATGTGATGATTAATTGACTTGAATGATCTCAGGTGTTGATAGAAAGATGAAACGGTTACCCGGAAGTGAGAGAAAGCTTGAGAGAGCCCTTGTAGTCGCCTGGATGATCAGATACAATGACTCTTCCAAATGTGACATCACATTCCGACAAGGACAAGATCCCAACTGGTCTTCCAAACCATGGAGCTAACATATGAGGCTGTGAGTGATCTCCCTATAGTTCCAAAAGAAGACTTTACTTAGTTAAAGAAACAAATCAATTGGTGTTACAAAAAAAAAAGAAACAGATCAATTAGTTAAGAAAAAACTAATTTACCTCGTTGAAGAAGTCGATGATGCATGCGTCTGGTTTCACAGGTATGATTTGTTTTGAGACAAAACGTTCAATGATGTCTGAAAGGAACGACGGGATTGGCTCTATTTTTCGACCTGCATAAAACTCATAGCTTATATTAAACCAATACACAGAAACTTATAAAGTAAAAAACATTTTAAAAGAACTTGCCTTTGATGCTCTCATCATCAGGCATTGTATCAGCTATGGGGAGACCGAGTTGGATCATCTCACGTCCACGTCCTCTATTTGGACGTTTATAACCCACATATGCCTCACCTGTTTTGCCATGAATCAGCGGTTTTAAGACATGACTTAATCATAACAAGCTATATCATTATCTCAGTGCAAAAAAAAAAAAATAGATTCTTACTTTGAAGTTGACCTCTTCTTCCGGAATTTCTCAGATTGTTTACAATAGAAACGAGTTGAGAAACTTCCTTTGCCTCAACCATATTCTCATATAGCTTCAGTCCTTCCACAACATTAACCTACACATAAGGGAGAAAATCAGATTTTATTTTTGTAGGTTTAAATTATAAGTAGACACATTGAAGAAGATCATCTCACCACTTTTGCTTCATACATCTCTTCCACAACAAAAGTCTTTGCCATGCTTGCAGTACACTCTTTATCTTTCTCCTCCTGCTTTACTCCAGAATTGAGCTCATTATCTGAAAGATAAAAAAAAACAACACAGAATCAGAACATTTCAAGAAAGTCTAATGCATCAGGTCAAACAACTAAAGACAATGTTTTCCAAAGTACCTTTAGAAACAGAGTTCACTATCTCCCCTTGAGTTTCTTCTGCACCAGCAGACACAGATTCTTCCAGATCTTTATGATCACTCTTTGCTTTCTCACTACCATCTGTCCCACAAAACAGATATAAAATATACATTACATCAACATATAAACCAACCAACAAAAGAGTCTAGAGACTAGAATACACATTAGCAGCTAAAAAGTTAACTTTTCTTACAAGCAAGCAAACAAACCAACCAAAAGACTATTTCCATTACCTCTCTTCTCCTCATCAACAGACAATATCTTCTCCGAACTCGAGTGATGCCCGTTTCTCGCCACTGATTCAGCTCCTTTATAACCACCATACTGCTTGTTAAATCCATAACCTGATCTCTTCCCACCAAACTTCAAACTCTGATCAGCACCATTGTAATAAGACCTTTGAGGTTGTTGCTGCTGCTGCTGTTGAGGCGTTGTTTTCAGTTTCCACACCCAAGCAGCGTGCTGAAGAGCGTTGTGAACATCACCGATCGTGTAATAAGGCTGCATATAGATAGCCTGAGACCAATTCGATTGACGATTCTTGATGGCTGAGATTGCGGCGTCGTATTGGTTCTGATCCCCGATCGCTTGTAGATGATGGCAGAGCCTGTCAATGATCTCGTTAGCCGCCGCCAACTCCCCGCGCAGCCACGAGATATACACGTCTCTCTCGTCGGGGATCCAGCTTCCGGCGATAGGGGGTGGAAACTGGAGTTTATCAGAGGGAGGAGCAACGTTTCCCGGTGGCATTGCCATTAAAGGAAAGTTTTTTAGGGTTTCTGAGTTTTAGCAGATCTAAAGAAGCAGAATTGGTTAGTAATGTGAGAAGATGAGATGAATTTAATGTAATTCAAACAAAACCCATGAAGAAAGTAGATTAATTTTCGGATGATAACAACAACAAAAATTAAAACGAAATTAGAAAAAAAGAGTGACCATGAAATGTGAAGGAAGTGTATAGATCTGGACGAGTAATCACGACTTCAGGGTGAAGCTGAGTAGATAAAAGGAAGTGTAAGTGATGTATAGATTAAGGGAAGCTTCCTTAAAGGTAAGAAAACGAGAGAGAGAGAGGAGAGAGAGATCTAGGGTTTTTGAGGAAAGATGTGGCTTAGTTAAGACGCATCATCTGTTTTAGGAGCAGTCTAAAACGGTGGCTTATCAGATCTCTCTCATTTTCTTTTTTTCACATGAAATTCTTATGCAAATTCGTTGTCGATAATTACGCAAGATGTTACACTTCTTTTTGAAAAGTAAAACTATTTATTTTTATTTTTTTTTTTGTGAACAAACTAACTACTCCCTCTGTTTCATTATAAGTGTCACTCTACAGCTGTGCACACGGATTAAGAAAACAATTAATTTTACATATTTCCTATATAAAAACACAATTACATATACACCTAACTATATTTTAACCAATAGAAAAACAAATTACATAATAAAATTAATAAATTTTGCATTGAAAACCGAAAACGACACTTATTTTGTAACGCAACAAATTCTCTACAATGACACTTAATATAAAACGGAGGGAGTAGTTTTTTGTATTTAGGTTTAATTGGAAACGAAATCGAGATTCCGCATCTTTTAAATGATTCTGTTTTTTTTATCAAATGGGCCATATGACCCAGTACGTAGAGATCGGTATATGGGCCAATAAGATATAGAGTTTTTTTTCTTCTTGATTCAGAGATTAGTACTCGACATATATATATTTGAAAGCTGAAACACCACAAAAAAAGGCAAATCCCTAATTTCCCATTTTGTTAAGGATTTCTACCCAATTCACTCATTAATAACCTAAGCAGCCAAGCTTAATATTGTACGCATTACGAATTGTCTTATTTCTTTACCAAAGTCGTTTATATCAACTTTTAGCAAGAAAAAATAAGTCGTTTAGATCATTACTATTAATAATTCGGAGATAACCGTACATGACCGAGTCCACATTCCACAGGTGTACATTTAATAAGTACAAACCAGTTACTCATCGTGTGTTAAATTTCACGAGGGTTAATCGCAGCCGTTAATTTTATAGAGATTCTTGTCAAGTACAACTCCATTAGAATAAATACTTACAAAATTATAATGGCCATGCAACTACGTCTACGTAACGTATTAAACTATTGTAACATCTCAATCATTATGAGATAATCATTGTTGACAATATCTATATATATATACACCGAAAAGCATCATTAATAATCCTCCCTTAATGTACTCATATTCATATAGCCATATTGTCCTCATAAATTAGATACATGTACTCATGAGCAGTGGCCGAGCCAGTGCTTGGGCACAAGGGTTAGTTGACCCAGGTGAAATATGTGTAAAAAAATTCTTTTGCTAACTGAGAAAATATCACAAAAGTTAGACAAATAACCCATGTAATATATGTTTTTTATAAAACTGACCCTCCTAGAATTTTTGGCTGTCTCCACCACTGCTTAGGAGCCAACATCATTTTTAAGGGGATCATTTATAAAAAATATTATATGTTATTACTAAAACAAAATTAAGATGGGTCAAATAATTTATGATATGGGGTCAAGCTAAAAAATTTTAACCAAAATTTACAGCAAAAACCTAACTTCTTATAGCTATATTCATTTTTTTTTTGTAAAAGTCATAGGGGTCAACTGACCCATTCTCACTACATGCTCTGCCACTGCATGTACTCGATTTAATAAGAAAAATGAATATCATAGAAAGTACTATATATATAGAGGGAGAATATAAGTAATTGACCATTGTTTATTTTATATAACTATAATATTTTATTGACTTGGTTTGAAAAACAATCATGATAAATACAGTTTTCTGATCATATTATTCAAAGAAACACGATACTTTGGGTCTAAGACCTTATCACATATAATATGTATATTGTATTCAACGAGGATAGTTGTACTGTTGAATTGTTCAAAGTTCAAATTATCTGTTTGATTATATATTGGTCAAGATAGCTGACAAAATATTGATATTTTTCTTTGAAATTTAATGAAATATCGGTCAAAATATTGACCAAAGATTTTATTCCCCCCCCCCCCCAAGTCTCATATTTTCCGTAAACCTGAGATCAACTGCGTGGAGTTTAAGTTGAAACCTAGTTTGGGTTCACGTCTTTCAGGATTTTAGTTTTCTTCCTTTTAAATTATTAGGCTATTGTATTCTAATTTTAAAAATTTAGATGATATAAGCCAAAAGATTGAAAGGCTGTGATTTAGCCACTGATACATTATAGTTCCATCTAAAGGCTGTGATTTAGACTCCATCTTCCCATTCATAGAACAAAAAAGGAACGGTTGCATCTTGCATGGACTTAGATAACACATTAAATTGTAGCCCGGCGTTTGGTTCACTTTGCTCTGGAGTAATCCCGGAGAAACTACTGAGACTCAATTCAAATTCTAACTTTTTCTTGTGTGTGCAAACCTCTGACGTTTAGTCCTATAGTCAATTATTTTTTCCATTATTATATAAAAGTAAGTTTAGAAGATATACTTGCCTTGCCTGATCACCCTACTTAAACTTGTATCCATCTTTAAAATTACTCATTAGGCCGTTCTTTATATTCAAAAAGCTATCATCAGCATTGTTCCTTTCATCTATTAAGTCATCCCTACTTCTCAACTCTCAAGAAAAAAATATATTTGTTGGACGCAGTAACCGGGGCTCCTCTTGGGACTCTCTCTTTATACAGCTGAAATAATTTTGTAGTATCAATTAATTAAGTTTACAATTTCTAGAAAAAAGTGAGTAGAACGTAGGGCCAGATTGAGTTAGATGGATGAGATTAAGAATCAAACGTACAATTAAATCCAAAAAGATTGAAACCTAGCTGTCTTCCCTATAGAAACTCCTTCACTTATATTCCAAACCCTTGTACGTACGTAAGCAATTCATTCATCATTCGTTCACCAATATTGCATGACTAGTTACACTAATTAAGAAGTGCCAGAAACGACTAATAATCTTAAAACAATATCAAAGTCGAATTAAGCTTATATTTTTATCATTTTATTTCATATAGTAATAAAAGTCTTAGGGGTTGATTGGTAAAGACTGTAGTTTTATATTTTTAGCTGTAGAAATTAATTTGTAGATTTATTTCCTGTAGTTTCTTTTGCGGTAGCTTTTTAAAACACTAATTTTTTTGTTCTAGAAACAAAATTCTCTACAGCCATTTTTTATTTTTCTAGAGATTTTTTTGATATAGGTTTTTTGAAAAAAAGAAAACTTGATTGGTTGATTTATATAGCTTTAAACTAAACTTTAGCTTTCTAAAGCTACGACAACAACCAATCACCCCTTAATAGGTCACTGGTCGAATCAGTGTTATGTACTTGCATAAATAGTTGTTGTATAGTGCAAAAAGCAAAATAAATGTGCATCTTTCCGTTTTTCCCTCTTGTAAAATTGATTGATCTGTTTTTTGAACCAAATTTTTTAAAATGTTATTATTTCCTCCCGAGAAAATTGTGTGACACTTTGACTGATACGATCGTTCATCTAAACCACAGCTTTTATCCGGATTGTGGTCAAATCAGTTGTACCGGCCTGATCGACTTTAACAACATCGTTGGTTAGTGACTAAGAGGAATGTATATTAGATAATTATTGGACTATTAAAGTGATTGAAATGGCATAAACACTTACGTATGATTTTATGTTTCTATTTTATATAGTTTCGGGTTGTTTTCACACATCAATTATTTTAGTATAAAGTACCCTCTAAGATATCATCCTTACCCGACAGAGCAGGTACTACAAAATATATCTAGCACATTCTCTTCTCTTCTCTTATATCTTCCATTCTCTCACACCATTGATTTAAGTCATCATCTTCTTGAACAAGAAGTAGTCTGAGCCAAAACTAGAATCAGCGAATGGACGGAACAACTTTTAAGCGTCATTCGTCGCTTTCGACACTTGTAGCTCATTTCTTTGGCATCTTAGCCGTTATTCTAATGCTCGTGTGGCTTCTCCATTACCGTGAAGGCATCGAGTATGGCTCCGACAATCCCCTTAAGGTTTTAAATGTAAGTTTTGTTTTCAAACTTTGTGTATGTATATACATATATACTTCAAACCGTTCAATCATGTTTTAACTCGATTAATTAACGTATATTATTTCTAAGTACTATTTTTTGGGCTCGGAAATGGTTGATATATAGGTGCATCCATTTCTCATGTACTGTGGATTTCTCTTCCTCGTGGGCCAAGGTAATTTAATTACCTAAATACTTTATGTATTATGGTTAATCTGGCAAATATATATTTAATTTTGTATACGGATGGTTCAAGTTTAGAATATTTTTTTTGGCTTAGTGCAATCAATGGAATGATTCAGGTAGCCAAACAAAGAAAAAGATTAAATTCGTACTCATGCATGAGTTATATCATAAAATAATATTTGTGCAGCGATGATGACGTACAAAACGGCTTATGCCTCGCATCAAGTACAGAAAATGGTTCACGGTGGGCTTCACTTAATAGGATTAGTTCTAGGTATTGTCGGAATCTGCGCCGCCTTTAGGTTCCACGACAAATTAAACCTTAAAGACATGGTCTCTCTTCACTCCTGGATCGGTCTCACCACTTTCATCCTCCTCGGCCTCCAGGTCAACTTAAATTAATAGATTATGGATTTTAACGTTAATATCAAACCGTAATTACTTGTTGAAAATTTGTGTTGATGATGTAACTTTACAGTGGCTACTCGGCGCGTTTACATTCCTTGCGCCACAATCTTCATCCGGGACAAGAACGAGGATGATGCCGTGGCACGTCTTAGGTGGTCGGGCTCTACTTTATATGGGTATTGTCGCAGCACTTACCGGACTCATGCAGAGAGCCACGATGCTTGGTCAGAGCACAAACGCTGAGTCACGACTCATTAACTTCACTGGCTTAGCTATTCTACTCTTTGGCGTTTCCGTCGACTTCTCCGTCGCTCTTGGCCGTTATGCTTGATGGATTCCTATATTAACTAGTCTACCGTTAAATTAATCTTTCTTTGTTGTATCAGTTAATGAATTATTGTTTGTTTGTTTTGGTGTGTAAATGTGATTGGTGTGATATCTAAATGGGTCCTGAGAGTGATTATGAAATGATATTTGATTCTTAATTTTACTTTGGATTTTTTTATTTGTTGATCTTATTTTGATGCTTACTAAAAGTTATTTATTTACATATTTTAGTTATAGTGGTAATTTTCCACGTCAGAAAGCAATCTCAACGGTCCAGAAAAGATTCAGCCATTACCATTTACTTGTCTATTTTATACTCTTTATCAAAAGAATATTTTACATGTTTTAAGTCGTAACTTGGCTCAACTTTTTTATTAAGTGGTATTTTTTTTTCACTTTTATCTGCTGCTAAGTTATCTGAAGCTTATAAGTTTTTGGGGGTTCGAGTGAAAAAACTCTGCATTAATTCACATACTTACAAATATTTCAGCTTATTCTTTTGTAAAAATATGTCAATATAGAACTTTCAAAACAAAGTCAATCATATAGTTAACAAGTTGACAAAAAAGTCAAATCATATAGTATTATAGTGTATACTAGTTGTTTATAAAAAAAAGTTATACTTGTCTTTTCATTTCCATATTTTGTTTGTGATGAAATCTTCAGAGCCAAAATAAACAGTAAATATGATTTACTTTATACATAACAAAGGTATCATATTTGATCAAAAAAAACTAAGGCATCATATAAACATACAAAATATGTATAATTATTATTAGCAAAAAACTAAAGTTTTAGATTTAAAAAAAAAGAAAAACTTAGAATTGAGAAAAACAAATAAAGCAGTTATAACTGATATTTTCCCACAAAAGGCAACAAGAAGCAAATAAATGGATAATTAAAGAAGCTCTGTTAATTCAGATTTCTTTTCATACTAATTGTTGTCTTGTACTTTCCATTCTCTTCAACAATCCTGCAATCTCAGCCTCCATTCTCAGCTTCATGTTCCTGTAATCACAGTGAGAGTTCTCAAGCTTCTTCAACTCCTCAAGCTTATTCCTCCTCCTCTCCTCCGTCTCCTGCAGACACAACCTCGCTAGCTTCTCTGTATACTCCTCCTCCATCTTCTCAGTTTTCATCTCTATCATTCTCTTGAAACTCTCTGCCTCCATTCTCGCCTCATCAGCTTTCTTCTGAAACATTCTTGTTTCAGCCTCCTTGATTCTCACCATGCTCTCTAAACTATCAAAACTGTTCATCATTGCATCTGTCAACGCAAAGCTCTTCTTCATTTGATCCTTTGATGTTGAAGGCGTCACAGATGCTTCATCTTTTCTGTAGCTTGTCTCTGTTACAACTGTTTGCTCCTTCGGTGGTTCAGGAAACTCTGATACCGATTCTGCATCTGCAAGAATTAATAACACGAGAAACAAAAAGAGTCAAAACTTTTAACCTTTAGAATCCATAACGCTTAAGGTTCCTAATCATGATGAGTATAATACTACTAAACAATTCTTTTTTATATTTTCTAAACAAAGCATCATTAACTATACATGTACTCATAATTTGACCAATAATAAAATAGTCAGCATAATATCATTGATCAGTTACTAAATCTCATATAATTTAGTAAATAAAATATTTTTTTAAATGTTTAAAAAAGGAGGGCATAAGTGGAAAACTCACAGTTGAAAAACTGAATGATGAAGTTAGATGCATCAACAGGAGAAATCTGTTTACTCTCAAGTTTCTTGACCATTTCATTAGCTTTAAGATGCAATGTTTTGCCTTTAGCATCATCACTTCCTCTAAAAACCTTTCCAACACAATCAAGCTCCTTAACCAGAGTCTCAGGCCCCCAATTCTTAGCACAACACACAAACACATCCTTAACAAACCCAAACATCTCCGACTTGTGCCCACACCCAATACAATGAAACAACATCTCCGTCTTATTACCTCTCGGACTCTTCAAACTAACCCCCGGCTTAATAAGATTCTTCTGAATCCCACAAGCAGCGTGACACCAATGAGAACAAACATCACACCCCACCCAACTACAAGTATTACTAGCCGAATCGAATCTCAGACAAACCGGACACATACACGAGCTACAAAAGCCTTTGTTCTTCGAACAGATGTTGCATTCACAGTCATCAACAGGTAACAAACCCTTGCAATTCACGTTCCGACACCTCACGAACATAAAAATCTCCACCAACTCGTTCATTGGGATACGGATTTTACCAGATAGGAAGTACTTAAGCCCTGTTCTAACCGCCACCAAGATGTCTAACTGATCCTTAACGCATTTAGACAACGTCTCTTTGCAAAGATCGGATCTTTTATCTAACTGACTCTGAAGACTCATCAGCTTCTCCTTACCCTCCACGGAATCAATCAAATTCCTTAAGTACTCTTTAGCTGATTCCAATGTTTCATCAGCCATCCCTTGAATAATCAACGCTACTGACGAAATAGACTTCGAGACGACGTCGTATAAGACTCTCTCCGATCTGACGTCATCGTTTTCTTCCAACTTCTTCCTCGAATCGCCGGAGATCGTCGTCGCCGCCGCTACTTCCATCCCCGGGCGAGCGGGTAGCTCGGAAGGGAAGAAGGAGTAGTCGGAGGAGGTCGACGGTTTACCGGAGATCGGAGTTCTGGCGAGCGCGACGCCGCCGCCGTCGCCGACGGGTCTGAACCGGCTGTGGACGGATCCGTTGGTACCTTCGCCGGCGCACCAGATGCGGTCGTCTTTACTGACGGAGCAGTCGAAGTCGGCGGAGCAGCTGAGGTTGTGGGAGAAAGGGTGGGAGTAGGAGTAAGACATGGACGGAGCCGTGGCCGTGAAGTCGTTGGAAAACGACGTCGTTGTACGCTCGCTGTTGATTCTCGGTCTTTTGACGGCGTTTGAGGCCGTTAGTGATAGAGACACGTCTGGTAAAGCTAGAGAGAGGTTTAAAGTCTCGATCTTGTTTTTTTCCTTCTCTTCTTCTTGTTCTTGTTCTTGTTCTTGTTTGACTTCTTCGTGAGCTTTTCGCTTAGAGGAGTTGAAGAAGTCTCTCTCGATCCATTTCTCCTCGTCGTCGTAGGTTTGATTCTCGGGGAAGGTTACGACCTCTTTGCCCTTTTGACTTTCGGCGATTTTCTCGGAGAGGTCGCGGTTGTTTTCGCAGAGGTAGCTGAGGGTGAGCTCGTTTCCGGATCTGGGGGATGATCTGGAGGAGAAGGCGTCGAGGGTGTTGGATCGGGAGGTGAGAAAGTCGAGGCCTTGGTGAAACTGGTTGTTGTTGGTTTTGTCGTCTTGGTTGTTGTTTGTGTTTAGATGAGCGAATCGAGGCTTTGAGGTTTTGGTTCGTGAGCACTCTCCGTCTCCGGCGAGATCTTTATCTCCGTTCATCGCGTTGGAGAGAGAGGATGAAGAGAGAGAGGGGATGGATGGGGATGAGAGAGAGAGTGTGAGTTTTTACGATGCGGAGAGAGATGGTAAAAAGGTGGGAAAAGTTCGGTCGTCTCTCAATGGGGGAAAAAGCTGAAATAATGTGGGAGTTTCGAGGGTGTTATTGTCATTCGAGGATAATAAAAAAGTTAACGGCTGTTTTATTTTATTTTTTGTTCAGAGTGTTTCACACGAGTCACGAGACGCGGTTTTTTGGCATGTCTTGACAACGTTGAAACTTGAAAGAGTCTTTGTATGTTTTCCTCCCTTCAATAATTTCAATTTACTCAATCATAGCTTACACAGGGCTTTATCCGCCGTGGACCTGTGGTGGTTATGTTTTAGGCTTTTCTCTACTACGATCAAGTACATTTGTTGATTTATTTGATCTGATTTCTGTGTTATTTTAGCTTTTTGGTTCAATTTTTTCTTCTTGTTTGTTTGCTATTTTAGCTTAGGGCTTTACTCCAGAAGAACTGGTTCTTGCTGGCTTTGTATCTCCCAAATGCATTCCTCCATGTATCATCCAATAGTTTCAGTGTTTAAGAAAATCTAATACTACGAGAGGTGATCTATGTCTCAAGAATAAAATGGGACAGTGGACCTGGACCGAATATTGTAGATTTTTTTCTATAAAAAGTCAACACGTTATGTATTATTGATGCCCACTTGTCATATTCTTAATTTATTGGATTTGTATTGCTTGTGTAGATATAATCATTGTAGGCATGTACAAACTTAGTGTATGATTGGGGCCTTTTTTTCTTACTGAGTTCAGTAAATGTAACTAACCTCCAGTTAAGATTCGGCCCTTTTAGAATCTTTGCGTGTAACGAAGGCCCGTTATCAAAGCAATGGAAAACTCGTGATTACTAGTGAACACGTGGATCACAAGTATTCGCGCCATGAACCACAATTAGTGAAAAATGTTTGAATCCAAAAATTATTGCAGTACGCCTAAGTTGAAAACAATATAAACCAAAAAATATTGACGTCCACTACATGGAAAAGGTAAACTAGTCGCTGAACCTGATAAAGGCTCATTTGATCTCAGAGAAACACACTTTATCTTCTGACCAGTTTAAGAAAACTAGTTACGATTAGGAAAATAGAACAAATCTTTCAGAATTCTATAAAAGAGGAAAAACAATAAGAAAATGGGTAATATAATGTATTAGGGAAATTTAAGCAATAAATGTGTGTGGCGACACAAATGGTGGTCTAGTAATTGGTATTAGTATGCCAAGACAAGAGCTAATTAAGCCCAGAGTTTAAGTATATAAAGCTGCAGAGGCATTTGCTATATATACCTTATGTATGATATTTTGTAAGTTGTAATAATAACCTGTGAGATCGTGTTTAAGTATACCGTGGGTTCTGGTTTTGGGTATTTGTTGTTGTTGTTGTGGATTGCTTACTGCTCAAGCAACCATTCCAGGCTCTGTATGTAGAAAAATAAATTTTAAACACAGTCACTAAACCCTTTTCATGGAGAAAATAAGGTCTCATACGATGGGAGTGATGCTAATGAATACCTTGACGCATTCAGGCAGGTCGTTATCTTCTGTTCTAACATGAACCTGCAAAGAGAGAGAAAGAGAGGTTATGGGATTGTGAATATTCTCTATGTTCTTGAAATAAATAAATAAAGCCTTCTAAGTAGTGTTGAATAGATTGTACCTTTATGACTCGTTGGTAGGCTGAGATCTTGTTGTGTTCAATGCAAGCGAGAACTACGAGTCCGGCTGCTACAGTTGAGGGCCAAAAACATAGTTGAGTGTGATCAGCTAGTGAAGTAACGGCCAAGGATTTGGCTTTCCTTTCAATTTCTGGGTTGGCTCGGGCAGCTTTTAGGTAGAACCTGAGATGTATAAATGATAGTTATTATGAAGTTTTCAGTGTGTCTATGTGTATTGGAAAAGAAAACACATATTAACAGAGGGTTTTACTTTTACCATAAGAAGTTAAAGATTGTGGGTGAGAAGCATTTGAAGTTCAGGACTTCTTGAACCAGCCACTCCATTGCTACCACCTCATGCCGGCTATACTTTAGGTTCCGGATGTAGAAGTTCCTTTTCCGGATGCTAATCAAATAGAGGAAGTATCAGGCGAGTATAAGGTATTTACAGAAAAGAGCTTTTGCAAAACAGAATCTTATATTTGACACACATGACTATATAGGATTAGTGTATGTCGAAACCATATAGGATTTGTATTAGACTATCATTAATCCCTGATTTGGTTCAGTGTAAAACTCAGTTTCTTGAAATGGTACTCTTCATATTGAGAACATTAATCTAATGAACACTGTTTTCAGGATAATGAAGCTGGAAAACTGGTTGGTACCTATTGTAAGGTTGATTTTCTTCAATTCTGGTGGCCAGAGTAAGACTCGCGATCCCCACTAGCACTAGAGTCCTCTCGTTGTTGAAGGATCCCTTGCTCAGGAATCGATCCAGCAGACTAACACCTAGAAACAATGTCTCTGACTGAAGCTCCATATCAGAACATTGCTGCGTATAGTCAGCGAAAAGACAATCAGCAACAAAAGAATACCAGCATAGGTCACTGATACATACATTCACAATACAAGATTATTAGATGAGCTATAGATATCTCTAGGCTACAACAAGATCTCAAAATATTCATTCCTCAGATCATTAACTATCCTTAATCGACCTAGAAATTGCATGAGCTCCTACATTGAGAGTTCACTGTATAGCATAACAAAATGCATGTAAGAAGAGAATGATAATATTCACCTGCACAATCCATTGAACCATGATCAAGCGTAGACGAGGGATGAGATCAGAATGATCCATCGTGGAGCAGTAAGCCTTAGCACAGTCACGCAAATATGCATGACTTCTCTCCCTTTCCCTCAGCCTTTGATAGCTCTCTTCAACCTCTTCATCTTCAAACCTTAGCAGCTAAAACAGTAACGTATAGCTAAAATCAATTCCATGTTAAGGACACAGCATAAAATTCTCAGATCAAATTAGATTATCAATCGAGTGTAAATCTCAATCCACACTTACTTCAGACTGGATATCACGGTGTTGCTCACGGCGAGAAGATTCGAGATCGTTAGGGATTGTGGATCTACAGAACTGCGCCATGAACTGGAGATACAGAGAGCGAGTATGTGAAACGGGAGAATCAGAGTTCGATTTCTCAGAGAATTCGCTACCGGAATCGAAAAACATTGACGGAGTGTAATCCGATAAACCGAAGTCGGAGGACTGCGAAAGCGGCTCCGATGATTCATCCTCGTAACAGTCCGAAACCTCTTCGCCGGAGAACGTCTCTTTGCAAGCGAGATCGGAGACGCATCCGACTGTCACAATCTCCGCCTTCACTTCCACGAATCCGCTCGGTTTGGAGATTTCGGTTTCTTCGTTATCGACTCCTCCAGTTACGCTCCCGAACTTGGAGCAAGACTCCGATACGAACGAAACGACGTCGCTCTCCTTATTCTCCGAAACGAAATTCAAATTCCTCCGGCTATCGGTCACGTGCTCGGCGAATGTCACGTCCGATCGTGTCACTGACGATTCGCTTACTTCTACTTCGATCGCTTCTCCCTGCTTCTCCTTGTTCAGCTTAGAGTAAGACCTAGTAATCCTCCGAAACGCAGGATCAGCAATCGTCTCCTTAACAGGTCCAGAAACTTCCACCTCTTCTTCAACTCGCTTCTTCCTCTTCTCGACTCTGGTCGAACCGCACGAAACGTCGTCGTCGACTGCAGATAACAGATTCGAGCAGGAATCGACGGAAGCAGCGGGTACGAGTGGGGAGATCTGAGCTCTCTTCCGACTTACACGTATCGACCGGAGATTTTTCCCGGCGAACGGCGTCGCCGCGGCCTTACGCTTTGAACTCCTCGACGCGATCGCCTTCATGCTTTCGACGATGGAAATTTGAAATTCGAAAATGGAAGTTTGTTATGGTTTCGTTGGTTAGAGAGTCGAGAGTGTGATGCGGTTATGGAAGTTGAGAGGGAGGAGTGTGAAGAGATGGTGGAGAGTGAGAGAGGTTATTATACCCTACGATTCGGTCCACGTCCACGTCCTTTTCATCTAATTTTCACCAACTTTGGACGCCAAACGTTTGCGTTTTGAATTTCAATCACTTTTTTTTAAACCGGTTTATTTCGGTGGTGAACCTCCGAAACGGAACTACCCGAACCGACCGGTTCTTAGAGCTAGTAGTATTCAATGTTCGAGAACTCGCTACACATTATATGTGTGGTAATTCCAGACCTAGCGCATAGCGTAAAAATCAGGGACTACACAGAAATAATTAAAAATTATGCATATATAAATATTTTAATGAGTTGTTATATATGAACGGTTACGATCTAATACAATACTAAACACTTATTATGTGTTATTTCATAGTTTCGGTATCCAAATTTATATATATTTTTATTACAAAAATTTTTAAAAACATAAGTCCTCGGTATATATCGTTGGTATATAGTGACGGAATACCGACAGATAATATATACTCCCTCCGTTCTTAAAAGATGTATATTATAGAGAAAAAAAATTGTTTCAAAAGATGCATTTTTTACCTTTTCAATGAAAGATTTAATCAAAATTGTAAATTTCAAAAAAATTAATGGTGTTTATTGAGTTTCTATTGGTTAAAAGTTATTGAAAATTGTTACTCACAAAAACAATGCATTTACAATCAAAATTAAATGAGTTTTCTTAATATTTGTGAAAAGTCTAGAACATTGATTATTTAGGAACAGACGGAGTATAGTATTTGCATAAATATTTAACTATAAAAATGTTTTTATAACACGATTTTACACGAAAACATTTTTATAGTCTAAGATTAGGTGAATATGATTGTATAAGTATATGAGTGTTAAGATGAGATGTTATAAAACAGTGATATACATACATAAATATTTTAGTGAGTTGTTATATTTGAACGGTTGCGATTTAATACTATACTAAATATTTATTAAGTGTTTTTTCATAATTTCGGTATGCAAATTTATCCTTTTTTTTTTTGAAATTTATTAAAAACATAAGTCCTTGGAAATTTTCTCGAAATATTTTTCAAGGACATTCCGACGAACTTGCTTTGTTCGTCGGAATGTCCTCAGTATATTCCGAGAAATTTCTGACGAACTTCTCCACTTTGAATAAAACCATAGTTCGTCACTATATCGTCGGTATATAGTGATAGAATATTGACGGATTTCCGACGACATCATTTATATATTTTATCGGAAGATCGTTGGAATTTCGTCGGTATATATCGACGAACCCGACGAACCACGTTTGGTTGAAAAGTCGTCGAAATATTTCAACGAATTTCTAACAAAGTTATATCTTTTTTGTTTTCGTCGGAAAACCATTAAAATTGTCCGACAATTTTATTGTCCGTCGGAACGTCCGTCAGAATATAGCGTGTTTTCTTGTAGTGACCAAGTCATCCCGGTGAGAAAGTGATGAAGAACAGTGCTATAAAAACTACCACTTTCTAGAGACCAAAAGTTGACGAAGACGTTGATAAGAAATCCACCGCTTCCTAGAGGCAAAAACTCGACCATCGGAAGGCTAAATCAGAAAAGATTCGACGAACAAGAGCTTCCACACTCTCGCTCTCTAAAAAATATGAGAGATAGAAGAGAGTAAACGCAATTCAATGCTTAATGTATAGCGAATAAATTGATAAGTTTTGAACCTCCGAAAAATTAAAATTTTATTTACAAAAAGCCCATTAAATAATAAACTACAGAACGTAATGTTTAAATTATATTATGATTTTCGTGACAAGACATATTTTATTTTAAATTAACTAAATAAATTTTATCTACAACAACCAAAACTTTTCTGGAAAGGGCAAAGATGGTGGATTACACTTGAACCAAACTCAAATACAATCTTCCATTTCAATCTTGAATAGGCAAGTTCATAACTACTACGTTATCAACAGATTTATCGAAATATGGTATGTACAGATCATATGTAACAGATATGATGGACTGATCTAATCAAGGCTATAAATCCAATATATATTAAATCCATTGTCCAAAGATTAATTCTTCCAAAATAAAAAAAAATCTTACAACATAAATTTTATAATCTATTTAAAAAAAAAATCGTATATCTTCTTCCCCATATATCAGTTTTACTTTCGCCTAACGTCCCATTAACGATTAGATTTATTTTTTTCTTTTCAAAAACAGCACAAGGATGAGGAACCTCCAGATATTCGTTGTTCTTTTCATGGCTATTTTTATTTTTTCAGGTACTAAATTGATCTTAAATATATGAATTACTACTACGGTAAAGGTCTGCAGCAAAATAGTTATAAACTTATAATTAATGAGAATCACTTAAATCTTTATATAGTACTCCCTCCGTTTCAAATTATTTGTCATTCTAGGTTTTTACACAGATTAAGAAAACATTTAATTTTACATATTTTCAATATAAAAACACAATTACCAATACACCTAACCACTTTTCAACCAATAGAAAAATAGAATATCATATAAACATAATAAATTTTGTCTCGAAACTCTAAAACGACACTTATTTTGAAACAAATTTTTTCCTCTAGAATGATATCTAATTCGAAACGGAGGGAGTATTATCTTATTTGTTACATGTGCATAATATGATAAATTTCAATTGGTTTGATTGTGTGATGGATTCCTCTGAATTTTTTTGGCACACTTGTAAACTAGAAGCTCTATCCAACTGAGCTGTAGCCTAATTCTAGGTTTCTATATGCAAGCCACGAGATTTTGTTTATTCTTATAAGATTCTGACTTTTTAAAAATTGTTTGAGGTGCGAGAGAGATGAGAATGACCCGGGAGAAAAGAATTTGTCCAGTGTTCTGGCCAATGGTTCAATGCGATGCTAAAAAGTGTGAGAAGATGTGCTTTGACCTTTACTTTCCTCCGGTTTCCTCTTACTGTTTTAGAACCGGACTCCCAAATGCTAGATGTGCATGTATTCTTCAATGTTGATAATGAGAATGATATTTTGATCGATAATTAGGCATTATCGTGTATTAATCATGTAATCCGAAAATAATTAATACAACAACCATCACTTACTTTGTTGTATAAGATAATAAGTAGAGGCGCATGCATTCTAAATGGTTTATGCGCATTCTCTAATGCTAATTTTGCTAAAGATAAGTTATTAAGTGAAAACATTTTCGAAAAACTTTTGGTTTTATTTTTCTTAAACGCAGAGCAGGAGGGCAAGCGCGCCATATTGATTTTGTTCTCAAATTACGATTGCCGTTATTCTACAAAAGCGTTTCAAAAAACGCAACATAACAAAACGCGAATACACTAGGAATTTCACAAATTGGGGAAATGCGTTTGACATCATTAATAGCATCGACTAGTTGTCACGTTTCACCCTTATTTAAGGGGTCGATGATGAGAGAACAATGTCGTTTAGCTGATTGTACACCGCATCCATAAAACTGTGGGTTTCGATAAGAGGCTTCTCCATTGCTTCCTTCAGCTCCCGTAGAGTCAAGCAATAAGCTTCCTATATGTGAATCATTTTGACATGTATTATAATTATTTTTTCTTTGCAAAATCAAATCAAACTGTAAAAAATAAAGAAATACGTGAATATAAAGGCATGTGAAAATGTTGTTTATTGTTGTGGACTATATTTTGGCTGAAATTGTTTATAATTTAAAGAAAGGGAAATAAAAGGAGAATTACCATGAATTGATCAAGCTCTGAAGAGGTAGCATCGGGGGGAGAATCAGAGTGGAGAGAGAGTTTTGTTAGGGCAAGATCATCCGTCGTGTTCATGATCTCCGGTGAGTCAAAGTCGCCGGAACATACCTGGTTGTGGTAGGTCCAAATACGTTCGAAATTAAAATTTTGTAGAAATTTTTATTTTAAAAAGATAGAGAGAGAACCTTTAAGCAACTGAGATGTGAGTGAAGAAGAAGCCCATAGAGAGGATGGCTTGAGATTCTCTTCTTTAGATTCTCCTCTTCGTCTTCTTTTGTATTCTGATTAATCTCTTGTTTCTTGTTTTGTAAGAAACTGTTCTCGTCTTTCTTCACCTCCATGTTTCACTAGTCTATCACAGAAGCTCTACCTGTACATACAATACATAACATGTATATATATAGTATAGAGACATGTAATCTGCTTGTGAATCTAGGGTTTTAAGATTACTTTTTGGTCTGTTTGTCGGTATACGAGACTCTTATTACTGTTACACATTTATGCCCCCACATTTATTATACATACATATTATACGGTCAAGATGTCACACATATATCATACTATTATTAAGCAGTTGTATGTACGTATTCATATAAAAGAAAAGAAAAAATATTTTAAGGGGATTGTGATTTCTTTGTATATGAAACTAATCACATGGTACAAATGGGACATATCTAGTGAGTAATTAATCAAGAAAATAAATAAAGGATGAGAAAGAAAGGGTGAAGTGAAAGGAGAGGGAAGAGTGGAGGAACAGTGGAAGCAGAAAAGATTATCAAGAAAAGGGCGAAGCATTATGTTGTTGCTTACGAAAGCACTTTGAGTCAGACTGTCGATAAATAGAATTATGCACAAGTTTCATTGTTTCCATGTTTGCCTTTTTTGTTTCCATCGTTTTTCTTCAATAATTTAAATTTGCATAATAATAGCTGCTGATGAGGTCGTTTTTTACGACGTTTATATGGAAATTCCATATAGAAAACGAAGGAGCTTCAAACAATTTGTGTATAATTTATCTATATTTAATTTTCAAAGTTAGTTTAACTAGAAATTGATAAATCGACATCACACATGTAGATTAGTCTCTCTTTTTGAACTTTGGTGTAGATTAGTCTTTAAAACGATGAAATAGTTTATATAGTTGTATATGTGATAAACATGAAAAACAGCTTTGTCACTTACTTCTGTAAATCCATGATCTTTATATGATAAGCGTTATAGGTTATAACTACTATTTTATAATCTGAAATCTACTTTATACACTCTGTTGATCAGTGTCATATAACAACAATGGCCGAAACAATAAAACAGCACATAATTAACCACATAACCAATGACTAAGCTGTGTTGATATTTTAATCGAACGATAACTGGGGTAAATTAGTGGATTTGATGATCTTAACACACTAATACGTAATAAGATGTTACACATTTGTATAATACTCCCTCTGTTCCTAAATAATCCATGTTCTAGACTTTTCACAAATATTAAGAAAATTCATTTAATTTTGATTATAAATGCATAGTTTTTTTGTGAATAACAATTTTTCGTAACTTTTAACCAATAGAAATTCAATAAACACCAATAATTTTTTTGAAACTTACAATTTTTCATTAAATCATTCATTGAAAAGGTAAAAAATGCATCTTTTTGGAACAAATTTTTTTTCTATAATATACATCTTTTAGGAACGGAGGGAGTATTCATTAACGTCGGAGAAGAGAGAGAGAGAGGAAGGAAGGTGGAAAGAAAAAAGGAGGATCAGAAGAGGGAACAGTGAGAAGATCATAAATAGGAATAGAACTGTTGTATCAATGGGACAGTTCCATATTTGATGAGTAATGCATTTGCCAGTTTTGGAGCCCCAAACCCTATTATTGATCTCCCGATAACGACCTTTCGTACTATCCACTTTCTTCTTCTTCTTTTACTCAGATAAACATAAGTAAATTCACCCATTTTCCAAGTAAAGATCCAAAAAAATTTCCCCATTTTCTACCTTTCCTCATCTCCCATTATCGCAACAATACTGTCTTGACGTTCCCTCATTGATTATACATTAATCTCTCATTAAAGAGCATTACTTCATTAATTGTGGGTTTCTTGATTTAAGCTGAAAATCACTATTTCTATAGAAATGCTAACTAATACTTCAAATATGAAAACAAAAAAAATTGATAATTACATAAAAAAAACAAAAATTGTGAGGCTAACTCATTTTTCAATCCAATACAAAAACAGAATCTCAAAAAAGATTCTATATATAATACTTTCTCCTTTTCATTTTATTTGTCATTCTAGGTTTTTGCACATAAATTAAGTAAATATTTAATTTTACATATTTCTAAGATAAAAACACAATTACCTATACACCTAACCACTTTTCAACCAATAGAAAAATAGAATATTATATAAACTAATAAATTTTGCCTCGAAACTTTAAAATGACACTTAATTTGTGACAAAAAAAAACCTAGAATGACATATTATGAAACGGAGGGAGTATTTTTTGCTAATAATGACCCAAAAGAAATTTCGTAATAATATTAGAGAGGGTAGCTTTTAGGTGAATCTCAAATATTAATAGCTGGAAAATACAGTATAGGTAATTAATTGACTTCTGTTTCGTTTATTGGATGAAAAAGAAAGGTAAAATCGAATACAATAAATAGAAGAAAACATTTGATCTCATGCTGTTTTAACTTTGGTTTCATTTATATCCGATTAGATGTATATATATTTTGCTTTTAAGATAGCAAAAGAACATCAAACTAGCAAGCTTTCAAATTGATTAAATGTAATTGGATTGAACACTTGTACGCTATAGTGTTCAATAAAACTAAACTATTACATGTGGTAGCCCATCAGACAATCATTCTGCAGTGTGAAACATTAGCATAAACCTTCGTTTAAGTTTTGCACAAACAAAAAAGAAAGACCTTTAAGAAACCGATCTGACACGACATCGTATGCTAGTTAAGCTATTAAGCTTAAGTTTCCGATAAATTCGTTTTCTGTGTCAAAAATATTCATAATGTGACTTCGTATTAGCTTTAATTACCGACGACTAATGTGTTTATCTTTTACTGAAACAAAAAGGAAAGAAACCATAAACTCCTTTTCCCCCGCTAGTTTTAAATAATAACCCTTCACACCTAATATATTACCCCTTAACTTTCACTTCTAATATATTACCCCCGAATGTCTCCAATTCTTTGCACCAGCGCAGATATGAGCAGAACTCGACTTTTTAACGAAAACCCACCACGAACAAGGCCACAACAGCGTCTCAGATCGCTTTGATTGGTCTGCACAAAAACACATACTTAACCACTGCCATCTATAAATCCATGATCAAATATTGACCACCTTAGTTACCCTCAAAGACGAGATGATATTTAATTTAACTACAGTCACCTGAGTCTCTTGCTTCTTGTTGAAAGTAGAGGCATAAACTTCATCAGTCTTCTCTTGGCAGAGCTCATCAACTTCTGAGATTCTAAGTAATCTGCAACGACTCCATCATACCAGCACACAGGACAGTGAAAGTTCCCGTCTTCATCAAAGTTAACCGCACAGTTCAAACATTCTTTGTGAACTTTTGATACACACTCGCTTCTGATACATACCAACAACGTTCCTTCTTTTCCACATTTCCAACATACATCATCGCTCCCACTGATTAACCAGGTTCCATCTTTTGTACATTTTACACGTGCATTCTCACCAATTGTATAATCCTTGCTCATGGGTTCAGTGTCTGTGTCTTGATCAATCTCTGTATCTTCATCGATCACAATTACTTCATCTTTTTCATTGGTGTGCATTGGCTCATCTTCATCGTCGATGAGAGTTACTTTATCCTTCTCCTTTATGTTTTGCTCCAAACCAATATGCACTTGTTGCTCATCTATCGGCTCCTCCTCGCCTGTATCCATGTGCACTGGTCTATCACCTCTAGAAATAGGATCATTTGCTTCCATCTCAGGAGCTGCATTCGTCTCATTCTCCATTAAACTCAAATCTCTCAGCTACATGAATCCAAACAGAAAAGAATAGCGTACACTATCTCAATCACTTAATGTAAGCATCCTACTACAAAAAATCATGAAACAAAATAAAGAAACGGAATCCTCTTCACCTTCTCCAGTGCACACTGTGGCAAACACATGTTCTTGTGAGCAATAAACGGAAGAACATTGAACTTCGATAACTCCGGCATGCCAGCTCGCAAATCCGATACTGGAATCTAACATTTGAAAACAAAAGACTACAATTAAGAATCCTAATTCTATACTACTAGTCAAGTTTAATCACAGTTCCCCCCATACCTCTTTCAGAATCGCTCTAAGAACATCAGCATTACTCAAAGACAAATCAAACTCAACTCTTTCCTCTGAAACAGAAGCCACACCAACACCACTAGAATCCTTCTTGCTTGGATCAAACATAAACTCCAAGACTCTAAGAGACAGAACTTCATTAATCCTCTTCCCATAACCATCTGAGTATTGATATCCCATGTTCATCAAATCTAAAGCAAACAAAGAAAAGAAGAGAATTCATGTTAAACACTTGCTCTTATCCATAACACAATATAACCACAATCAAAGGCTCAAGATTCAAGCTACCGAGTATGCAACGTATATCCTTAACGAATTTGGCTACGTATTCTATACACCATAACCATTCAGCTACTTGTGGAGGTCGAGATGCATATTCATCCATCAGTTCCTCAAGACTCAACTCATAAGCTCCACCATGGTCTTCCATCATGATCTGCACTTTCTCTAAACTCTCAATTTTAAGTTCCATCATCACAATCCGATCAATTCATACTAAATGACAAGCATAGATCCTAGCGATTCAGTAAACTAGATTCAACACCAATGATTACGCTATCATCAACAGGACTCGAAACAATGACGAAATCCAGAAACCCTAACAGAGAATTTACGCTAGAATTTGCAGAATAGGCTAAAATCGAGAAACAAAGAGACGATTCACTAACCGATATTTGTGGATTTGCAAATCTCCCGCCTAGAATTTCAAACTTTCTTTTTTTAGGAAGTTTCGAATCGATGAGCTTCTTCTCCGGTCATCATCACCACTATGTTTGAATCGAATTAGAATGTTGAAGACGAAGAGACAACTGGGCCGTAAAAGGGCCGTGTCAAGAATAAAAATCTTAATCCTTAAAATATATTATTGTAAAAAGGCCTGGCCCATTAAGTGGAGTCTATGCAGCATGAAAAGGAAAGAAACTTAAATAATAGGGCTGTTCGTTTGGTTGACGCAGACACCTGCGGCTGCGGCTGCGTCAATCTTTTTTTCGAATCTTGTTCGTTTGTTTGACGCGGTGACCTGCGTCTAGACGCTGCGTCAAGACGCTGCGTCTGGCGTCTGCAAATTCTGGACGCAGAATAAATCGGCGTTTGACTCCAAAAACCTGCGTCTATTTGCATTATTTACGTTTTTGCCCTTAACCCTAATTATTCTATTGACGCAGCCGCATCTCAGAAAGAGGAGTAGACGCAAGCATCTCATCTCTCGAAGCTCTCTCTTCTCCATCGCATCTCATCTCTCGAAGCTCTCTCTTCTCCATGGCATCTCATCTCGAAACTCTCTCTTCTCCATAGAAGCTCTCTCTTCTCCATAGACGCATCTTGAAGCTCTCTCCATAGACAGAGCTCAAAGCTCTCTCTTCTCCATAGCATCTCGAAACTCTCTCTTCTCCATCGCATCTCATCTCTCGAAGCTCTCTCTTCTCCATAGAAGCTCTCTCTTCTCCATAGACGCATCTTGAAGCTCTCTCCATAGACAGAGCTCAAAGCTCTCTCTTCTCCATAGCATCTCGAAGCTCTCTCTTCTCCATAGCATCTCGAAGATCTCGACGACCCTCTCAAGTTCAGACCCTTTCAAGCTCAGACCCTCTCAAGCTCACACTCTCAAGTTCAGACCCTTTCAAGCTCAGACCCTCTCAAGCTCACACTCTCTCTCGACCCTCTCAAGTTCAGACCTTCAGGTACTATCTATGTTGCAGGGAATGTGTTCAAGTACCATTACGTGTGTGTTCTTCTTGTAAAGGAAAGTTTAGTCTTGTGTATTGTGTCATTGCATAGGAAAGTTTAGTCTTGTGTAAAGGAATGTGTTCAAGCATCACGTCAGGGTATTGTGTCATTGAGTAAAGGAAAGTTGGATCTAGAATGATTAGCTTGTAGACTAGTGATTCTTGATTAGCTTGTAGACTCTTCAAAAAGCTGTAGGTGGTAATATTGTCTAGTCTTTGCCGAAAGACTCTTTGTTAAGTCGTTGATTGTATTCTACATTCCATTCCCACAAGTCCAAAACTGGTCGTTAGTCTTTGTGTGAACACCTTTTTAAGACTGTTACGTGTTGAATCAATACATGTACTTTAAATTCACAAAGACATTTCATCAAGCCGTGGGTAGTAGTATTGTCTAGTTTCAGTCTTTTTCTAAAGACATTTCATGAAGCTGTCGATAGTAACACTGTCCAGATTCAGTCTTTGTCTAAAAACACTTCATCAGGCGGTGGGTAGTATTATTTTGTAGATCCACTTAAGCAATAAACAGTTTTCAATTCACATTTTTTGTCTGTAAATGAGCCTTTTTAAATTCAGTCTCTTTTTATCAAGACTTTTCAAATCGTATGTAGACTAGTGATTCTTGATCTAGAATGATTAGCTTGTGAAAGATATAACTCTTTGCCTTGTCGCATCTTTTTGCTCTTCTTCCTTGTTGATGGTTAATGTTTAAGCTCTGTTATTCTGATAAACAATTCTTAACTATATAGGTTATCTCACTATATAGTTCTATGTAGTTGTTCTTCTGGGTATTCTTGCACATGTGTTTAACCCATCAAGCTTCCTTAGTTCTTTCCCACTTGTGTTTTCTGTGAGCTTTGGCTTTTTAGATATGTCATTGTTGGAGTTGCTGTTAACTAATTTGCGTTATCTTGGTGTAGGTGTGCAAGACGTTATCTTTGGCCTCTCCAGCTCTCTCAAAGCTTACACGAGCTTCTCTCTCTCTTGTAAGCAAGAGCTTCTGTTTTTATATTTTGTTTGAATTGTCTTGGTTGTGGTGCTCTGTTTTGAGCTGAGTGTTGAGTAAAGTAAGAGCTTCTGCTTATTTTTCACTCTTTTAATTTTGCAGTGACTATCTTTTCAAGCTTTTGCTTATTGGTGGATTCTGGTGTTGGCAAGTCTTGCTTGCTTCTAAGGTTTGCATCCTTGTAGATTCAGTCTCTCAGCTCTCTTACATTTTGATTTGATGTAGATATGGTGAAAACACGAGCATCAAAATCTTTGGCATGTATTCATATGTGTGTTGTGGGAAAAGTGTATTTGTTTGATTCACAGGAGTTCTTATGGAACCGTAGATATTTTAATAAAAGATAATTTTAGCTATTTTAGCTATTCAGTGGAGTCCATGATCTTGGATACTTCAGTTATGTAGTTTTAAGTTCCTTTTGGTGCCATGGTGATCCTTGTGATTGACAAATATTGTATTTTAAACATTAGTACAATGATGGAGTATACAGATTAGCAGCCATTTGTACAAGGATGATATTTTAAATATGGAATTAAATAGGAACCAATTGGTTAAGGATATTTGGTATGCTCAAAGTGTAGAGATGCATTAGTTTCAACTGATAACTGATATCTTTGCGTTGATAACTGATAGAGATGGTTAATGTTTAAGCTCTGTTATAGTTCTTGTTGTGCTTGTTATTCTGTTATATAAAATGTTGTTGTTGTGGCATGTTCTTGTTCTTGTTGTGCTTGTTATTCTGATAAACAATTCTTAACTATATAGGTTATCTCACTATATTAGTTCTATGTAGTTGTTCTTCGGAAATGTGTCTATCTCTCTGTTTTATTTTTTTTGTGTAAGTGCTTATATGCTTCGGAAATGTGTCTATCTCTCTCTTTTTCGCAGGATTTCATCTCAAGCTCACACTCTCAAGCTCACTCTCTACCACTCTTCTCTCACGTTTAAGATGGCAAAAGATGTAAGGCTCTCTCACACTCTTGCTTGTTAGTTATATGTATGTATGGAACTGTCTGGTCTTAGTGAACTGTCTGGTCTTATGGAATTTGCTTTAGGGTCTGTACTTTAGGGNAACAGCGGTTTAAGAAAGATTTTCCCGACTGGAAGGCTTACAAGAACAAATACGATAACAGTAGGAAGAAGTACATCAAGAATAGGACGCTGACTCAGAATAGGACAGGGCTTGGGTTTGATAGAATGGGAAGGATTGACATGTCAGAAGATTGGTGGAATGAACGGGAAAGGGTCAGTTTCTCATTCTCTTATCTATTTTGTTTGTGATTGTGTAAGAACCTTGGCTTATGGTAAATGCTCGATTTGTTGTGCATTAATGCGCTCTTGTTATCTCTTACAGAACTAAACTGTGTGTTTTTGGTTATTGCAATTAAGTTTGTGTCGTGCTGAATCCTTACATAACTGAACTGTATGTTAGTGATGATGTTTGATTAGTGAGAGTAGCAGTGTGATACAAACCACGGTATGTTTGATTAGTTAATAGTGACAGTGTCTTGTAATCAGTTTTGTCTTTACGTTGAAGATATTTTCTCTTCTTACATTGTCTATACTTTGATTTACTGATAACTGGTGGAGTGAAGCTGAATATTACAGAACCCGAACTATCTGTTGGTGATAATGTTTGTTTGCATTTTTACTTTCTTCAATGTGCATTTTTACTTTCTCAGATTTTATATGTATCATTTTGGTTGACTCATTACCTGACTTACTCTTTTCTCTTTTGTTATATAGGAGTGTCCTGGGATTAGAAGAGCCTACTGCCAAGAGATCGATAACATGGATCTGTTTGAAGCAGAATTTGGTGGTGTAGTGGTAACCGGAGCAGAAGGTTGGAGCGCTCAAACTGGAGAAGCAAGTTTGGATTCGAGAGTTGGTGGAGACATTGGTGAGGATGAAGCTGATTCTCAGCCAGCAGCAGAGACTCAAGCTCAGCCCCAAACTCAACCAGCGGCGCAGACTCATTCTGGAGGTTCAAGAGCAAAACGTAGGCGTAAAGAGAAAGATGCGGTTGTAGAGTCTTGTGACAAACGGACTGCAGCACTTGAAGTGAAGAATATGCTAGTAAAACAAGTGTTGGAGCATGAAAAACCATTTAGTGTTGAGACCGTATTGGAGATGTTGTATGCACTGCCTG